TCAGGGTGGAGGTGGGGAGAGGGCAGGGAGGCCCAGAGAGTAAGAGAGATATTTGAGAGCAGGCAGGTCCCGCCACGTCACTGCTGGACAATGGTCTGGGGCCGGGAGGAGTGGAAAATCCTGCTCTTACTTGGGCTGAAAATAGTACCAGGCAGCAGGGTCAGGAAACTCACCCACCAGGTTGGTGGGCCAGGCACCGAGCACTAAGGCCAGATGTCCATACCGAGGGGCCAGGCAGTTTGATTGGGGTCCAGAGGGGCCCTGGGCCTGTCCGTGTTTCTCTTAGGTCTCTGTTCCCCACCCTACTAGTGCCTGCCACAGGATTAGATGGCGAGTAAGCCCCTCCTGTCCCCTAGGTCCTGTGTCCTTAGAAATCTCAGGCTGCTGGTTCAAGGAAGACTTTCTGGTGCTAGGCCATGGTTTGGTCTCCATGTATTGTGGCCCTCAGTTCTTGGGGTCTTCAGGGCAGCTTCTGGAGGTACCCCTTCTGAAAGGAATGGGACTAGAGAACTTGGGCCCATGGTGGACACAGCCCCATCCCCAAACACAGATGCACAATCAAGAGCCCCAAAAGTCATGATGTATAGCTCCCTGCCTCCAGGTCTGAGCAGGGCTGAGGGTGTCAGAGCTCAGCATTACACTCCTGGCCAGCAGAGGATCTTATCTGGGTAGAGGCTCCTTATAAACTGGGATGGGGTTCAACCTGAGCAGTAGCTGGTAGGAAAGATAGGCTCAGGCCTGCAAGAAAGGTTCAAGGACAGACTATAAGATATCATCACAAAAATACTAACACTAATGTAGACCCTGGCTATGTTATCAGAAGTATAGAACCTAGAATGTTGGGGGTGAGCATTTCACAACTACTTCAGGCAAGTCACCCACATTGCACAATGCAGAGTAATCATTTGGGTCATGGCTTGTGACAGGTCCCTGTCACATGGGGGCGCTCTGGAGCTAGACACTCAGTAGAGCAACCTCTGGGGGAGCCGTTTGGGCCAGGCAGAGCAGGAAGGGTGGAGAAGTCATAGGAGGTAGGTGGAGGTGGGGTGGGGAAAGAAGGACCTTCTCTCAGGCAGAGTGGGCCCATAAGGCAAGGGGTCTCCCAGAGGGAGAGAAAGTGAGTCCTTACTCTTGAGCTTAAGAATGAGGTCTCTCAGCTTTGCTCTATTCCTGCCCAAAGGCTAGGGCTGGGCCCTGTCCAGATGAACTCCACCAGTCTCCAGAGTGGTTCTGGGTCCAGAACTCATCTCCCCCACACTAAGCCCTGACCCACCCTGAGCACTAACCATATGCCATGTAGTTAGATTTTCCCAGGAGACAGAGGGCTGGACAGGAAGGGGAGCGTATCCCTCCCACACTCATCCCCAGTGCAAAGGAAACCTCATGCTCAGGACAAGAAGGGAGCCCTGACTTGGCCTCCTTGTGACCTAACCCCAGCCTCATTCCAGCCTTGAACCTGGGTGCCAGCCGCCCAGCTGGCTTCCAATTCTTGCACACCCTGCTCTCCTGCCCCTACATCTTTGCCTTAATGCACCCTGTACCTGGATGTTCTTCTCTGATGAAGTGCTTTCCTCAGACACCCCCTGACTCCAGGAAGCCTTCCCTGATGCCCTGGTCCACAGCCTCAGCCAATCAGCATTATCCAGTGGTGTGTTGGAGAAATTGTAGCTGCTTACAAGAGCCAATTGTTAAATTTTCAGGAATTTTGCAAGGAGGTTGACATCACATTGGTAGTCTGAAACCGGCCATGGTAGGAGTATTTGTACCATGGCAATTGGCAATGCTACAAATAAGGGGTTCCCTTTACTCACCTGAAGAGTTAGTTAAATGGTTTAACATTTATCAGCTCATGATTGGTTGCCTCCTTTAAATCCTAAACTGGGGGATCTTGAGGACTATAACCCCATCTGATTCCTCTCTGCACCCAGCAGAGCCAGGTACAAAAGCCAGTTAACTTTAAAGTGGAGGATGACCTGGGGTCTGGAGAGGAGAGTCCCAATATGAACCACCACTGAGGCCCCTAAGTGGGAAGGCAGGTGGCAAAAGAGAACAGGTTGGAGAAAGGACTCTGGTGTGGATGGCAAGAGCTTCCCAGGCTGTATCCCTGTCCTCCAACTACACAACAGGGCCTGGCTCAGCACGTAATAACAACTTTAGTAGAAGTCACAGTCTCAGATTAGCTCCCAGCCTCCAGATGGATTTATGACATAAATTCCCAAACATTCAGCCCTTGGGCTGGGGTACTCCCCAGAGCTGAGACCATGGTGGCACTCAGACCACCTTGACCCACTGTGGGAACCTCTTGCTCAGCCTTGACTCCTTACCAGGGTCCTCTGGTCAATGTGTAGCCCCATGCCTCCCAGAGAGCTGAGGCTCAGGCTTGGCTGAGTGACCTCGGAAAGTTACTTGCCTCCCTGGGCCTGTTTCTCTACTTGATTGCCTGGGCTCCAGCCTAGGTACCTTGGCAGGCACAGCCAGGTAGTCATGTGGGAGTCAGACCAGGGGCAGCACTGGCCCTGAACCCTTGCCTTTCTTAAAACCTTATTCCCCAGTTCACACATGCAAATGGTGCCTGGCACCGTGGGGACTTTTGAGCTCTCTGGACCACAAAGAACAAACCGAGCCCATGCCAAATGACACAGCACTGGACTTGTGGCTCCCTTGACCTTCTGGCCTGAGTCACTGATGGTCCATATCTGGGGAGACTGTCCCCTTTGAATAAGTCTTAGTTCCTACACCCCAGTATAAATTTGTGCAGGTCTGAAGGGTTCAGGTCCTACAGCTGGATGTCCTTAGTGTTTTCACCACTGGCTGGTGTGGACTCTGTCTGCCTAGAGTCCTCACTCCTGGCCAAGTCTCCTGTCCTCTTAGTGTCAGTTCTGTCGGACCTGCGCAGACCCAGCCTGCGGCGAACCTGGATGGGAGGAATGGGGTCTGTGGGTGGCTTGGCGTCCCGGGCAAAGCGCACAAGCCTCTGCCCAGCCAGGAAGTAGAGCACAGGGTCCAGGCAACTGTTGGCGCTGGCCAGAGGCCGGGTGATCTTGTAAGCCATATTGATGGCGTTGAGGGTGTGGCAGCTGAGGTCCAGCGTGCGGAAGGAGTAGTAGAGGGTGCGGGTGACATGGAAAGGCAGGAAGCAGAGGACGAAGACAGCCAGCACCACGGCGATGGTGCGCACTGACTTGCGTTTGGCCCGTGGCAAGCCTCCCGTGGTCCCGTAGGCTGGCTTCAGCAACCGCCGAGCCATGAGCACGTAACAAATGAGGATGACAGCAAAGGGCACCACAAACAGCAGGCTCAGCATGACGGAGCTGTAGGCCACGAAGTGGCTGAAGAGCTGGGGTGCTGAAGTGTCGTGGCAGGTAACGCGGCCGCCACGTGCACTGGTGGTGACAAAGTACAGCACCGGGGCCTGGCAGGTCAGCACCAGGACCCACACGGCAGCTGCCACCCGGCGGGCATAGCTGGCCCGGCCCCAGCGCAGCGAGTGCAGTGGACGCAAGATGCCCAGGCAGCGGTGCACACTGATGCAGGTGAGGAAGAGGATGCTGCAGTAGAGGTTGGTGTAGAAGAGGAAGCGCACCAGCTTGCAGAGCACCGTGCTGAAGGGCCAGTGGTCTCCGCGGGCGTAGTAATAGACCAGCAGGGGCAGGGAGGCCGCATACAGCGTATCCGACACAGCCAGGTGGAACATGTATGTGGTGGAGGCGTTCCAGGTCTTGAGGCGGCACAGGAAGATGTAGAGCGCCGCGGAGTTCAGACACAGCCCAAACACGCACACCAGGCCATAGGACACAGGCAGCAGCACGTACTTGAAGTTCTCATTGAAGCGGCACTTGTAGCCCAGCTCATCCCCATCCCAGGTGCCATTGATGGTGTCATTCCAGAGGCCCGGGCCTGTGGCCATCGCCCTGAAGGGAAGGGGGTGGTGGGGAGAACAGCCATCAGGGTCATGGCCGGGGCCCAGCAGGGACACCTGACACACCCACCTGACCAGGGCCATGAGGGACACCAGGTACCCATAGACTCCCTTGGTTAAGATCTGCCCAAACCGCATTCAAGGCGTCTGTTCCATCTGACCTGCCTCTCTCCCTGGACCCAGGACATCAGAACCCTGGAACCTTAAGAATGCATGAGATCCATGAATGTCAGGATCATATAATTCTCACATTTTAGAACAGGGGTAGGCAAACTACCTGCTGAGGGCCAAATCCAGCCCACCAGTCTGTTTTTGTAAGTAAAGCTTTATTGGAACACAGCCATGCCCATCTGTTTATGTAGTGTTAGTAGTTATGACAAAGACCATATGTTCCTCCAAGCCTAAAATACTTACCATCTGGCCTTTAGAAAGTTTGGCGACTCTTTGAGACTCTCAAGGACAGAGTTCTAGACTATGACTATGAGCTCTAGAATCTGAGGATCTGGGTCTCTCAGAGGGGAACCATCTCAGATTCATGCAAAGGGGCTTTCAAAGCTGACTGGGTCCACCTCACACCCAGTGCCCATTGCCTGTTTCTGGCCAGTGGGCAGCCCATACCTCCCTGGAGGCATTAGGAAGTTCTTTCTTTTGGCTCATCTTTCCACTCTCTGGGAGACTCCGGCTCTGTGCCTGGTATTTTGGTATTTGAAGGTGTATTTCCAGGGGTCTCCCCCATCAGTCATTCATTCACCTCTCAGCAAATATTTTTTAGGCACTCCTATTTTCTGGCACTTTCTGCATCTGTGAACAGAAGTCCTGCTCCCTGGCCTATGAGGCTACCAGATGGTATAGTGACCTTCCTGAAGATTCCAGGTAAGTCTAGGGTGGAGGTGGGAGTAAGGGCAGAGGGGAACTTCTGCTGTGGGGCAAATTCAGCCTCCTCCAGGCCTGCCCAGCTTCTTCACACATCATCACTACCTTGACCTTCTCCGAACTTGTCCCTGGTGGGCATGTAACACACCCACAAGGCCTGACTGCCCAGAGAGTGAGCACCTGGAGTCAGGACATCACCTTCCTCCTCTCCCCACCCCCTACAACATCACCACTTAAAGCTCTCTTTCAGCTGAGAGGCAGGAGGCAGATACCGCAGTCTGGAGGGCAAAGATTTGCCCAAAGGTCCCAGAAAGCAGGCTGGAAATCATAGTGGGAGTCCCAGATGAGCAGGTTTGGGACAAATACAAAGAATAACTTTCTAACAGTGTGAAGGGGCAGGGCGAGCTGACATTTTTCAAACCCCACTACTATGTGTGCTGTATCAATGTTACTTCATTCCATCCTTACAATATGCTTCTGGAAGCCAGGCTATCTGCCCAGATTTCTGATAAGGAAGTTGAGATACAGATCATTCAAGTAATTTGGCCCAGGTCACGAGCTGGGGATGGGCTGCAATTCCTGTCTAGGTCCATCCCACAATAGAAGGCGCTGTAGGAGGACGTGGTGAACTCCCTGCTTATTGGGGTGTGTATACAGCTCTCCAGCAAAGTCTGCAAAGGGCTCGTGCCCTATGTGCAGGGGTGTGTCTGGGAGGACAGAGAGGGCAGATGACGTGTGAGTCCTCCCTATCCTGAAAATCTAGGGCTGTACAATCCCCTTCATTTTGGAACCTGGGGTCCTGAGAGGCTGGGACTCGGATTCTGAGGGGCCTGTGACATCCACTCCCTTAGATTCTGAGCTTCCTACCCAGCCTGGCCTCCCAAAAGTAGCTCAGAGTCCATGAGATTGAGATTAGGGGGACTTCCCTAGCTCCTGCTGTCAGCAAAAGTGCAACCAGGGGGCAGGGAGCCTGTACCTGTGACTTCCCTCCCATGGATACAGGTTCCTCCCCAAGAAGCCAGGGCAGATCCAGGGTGAGGATGCAGGTAAGGGGGGAACTCTGGCAGGACCAAGCTGCTGGGACCCCTCTCGCCCGGAGCCAGAGGACTCAGGACTCACCATTAAAGCGTTTCCTGCATCTAGCCCCTGCTCCCTGCAGCCCAGTGTCACCACTGTCCTTGCTGCTGGAGTCACTGCATCAGCCTCCCTGTCTCCAGCCTCAGGCCCCCTAGTCCAGAGGGGTCTTTGGAAAAGACAAATTCATTCCCCTGCTTGAAACCCTCTGTGGTTCTTGTCTGCTCTCAGGAAAAAACCCAGTTCCTCAGTCTGGTACCAGAGGTTTTCATAATCCAGCCTCTGTCACCAGCCCCATTCCTTGTGACCTGCAAGTTCCCTGAATGCATCCAGCACATTTCCCCTCCCAGCCTTAGTTCATGTTGCTCCTTCAACCTGGAATCCATTCGAGACCCTCATCTCTTCACCTTTTGAAATTATAACTCTTTATCGTTCAGTGCAGCCAACTCCAGTGATTCAGAAGAACCTGGCTTCTGGAGCCAGACTACCTTTGTCCCTTCAGATGCAAAAATGAGGTGATTAATAGAACCTACTATTAACAGGGAGGAATTTGTGTAAAATGTTTGGAGTTGTGCCTGCCACACATGTAGGTACATTCTGGTGCTATGTGCTTCAAGGTTGTGCTCAGACATAGCCTTTTCCTGAAATCTTTGGGATGCTCGCTCAGGGCTTTGGTGGAGGAGTGACAGAGGTCCTCGCTGGAGGCTGTGGGGTTGGTTTGTGTGGTGGGCCAGGGGAGTAACACCAAGGCCCAAGCTGGGGGCCAGGCCTGGGGACCTCCTGAGGGGAGAGATCTGAGAGCTGTTTAGGAAGGAGGCTGGAGAGACTGGCCCAGAGTGAGTCTGGGTGGTGGAGGGGCCGGGATGCCTCAGGCTCAGGGGTCGGGAAGAGGGGAGGGAGCAGGTGGGAGAGGGGGAATTCACTGTCAGAAAAGGTAAGTGTGGGGTGCCCAGAAGGGATGTTGTGGCATGTAGGGATGGGCTAAGGCTGGGACCATCAGGTCTGGCACTTTGGGAGGTGGGCAGAGTTGTTGGCTCATAGAAGCTGCAGGAGGCCCAGGTGTGAGACTGAGGAGCTGTTTGGGGTCAGGGAGTGGCAACCTTCCCCCTGGGGACATGGGCTTGGGGTATCCAGCTCTGCAGCAGAGCCCCAAGTGACATCAGGTATTTCCTGCCTCCAGAGGCTCAGACCTCTCATGGGCTGAATCCCCTAGCCTTGTGGAACTGTGGCCCTTCCACCCCTCTACCCTAACACAGGGGGCTCTGCCCTACTGGGGATAGGGAGGGTGGCCCCCTTCATACTCCATGCTCAGGGCACACACACCCAGTCCTGCCTCCACACCCTGGCTCTGCTCAGGCCCTGGGGCTGAGGCCTGGAGGGTCTCTCCTCAGAGTCAGGGTCAGGGCCCTCATCTTCCTTTCACAGTCAGCATCTCATTGCTCTACACAAAGAGTTTCTAGCTAATTACTAACTCATGGTAGAATCTCTGACACTGCTGAGAAGGGTGGAAACTTCCCTAAATCTCTCATGAACCAAGGGAGCTGCCCTTTCTACCTGTTTTAAGACATCCTGGCCTCCACCTTCCCAGGCCAGCTGGGGACTCTATTACCATGGCCCCCAGCCAGACTGACCCTACCAGCCCTCTTTCTCCACAGGCTGGCCCACCAACTTGTGAGTACATCTTTCCTGACTTCCCCCTCAAACCTCTGGCTCCTGCTTATAGAGACAGCCAAGTCCCCGGCCCTCTTCCTCGGCCCTCTCCACTGCCTCTCCTGACCCTGGATGTCCTTGGGGCCTCATCCTTAACTCCCCAGAGACCAGTTCCCACCAAACTTTATCCAACTCCACTCACCAGCCCCTGGTGCCTGGTTCTGGCTGGCCCTGCCCTCCCTCATCTGGAGGGAGATGTGAGCCATGCAAGTGCCCTGACAGGCTTCCCTGCCTTTGTTCTTTCAGTCTGGAAAGCCTTTCCAGACCCACCCACACTGCACTCCATCTTGCCCATCCCTCAAGGCTCTTCTCAAATGTCATCTCATCTCTGGAGCTCCCCTCCTCCAGCCTAACCTTCCAGGGCATTCCATTGTCCTCCCACCCCTCTACCCCAACACATTCCAGGTGCTCCTTGAGTACTAGGTCCATCTAATTCCCTTCCCTGTCCCTATCATCCAGCAAGAGGCCTGAGCCAAAGCAGGTGTGATGTGAGTGAGAGAATGAATGAATGAGTGAATGAAGCAAGCACAAGAGGCTATGGGAGCCCAGAGGAGGCTGAACTCTATGATAAAGGTTCTCCTTCCCTTATTTCTCTGATGGCCTTTTGGAGAACAATGATGTTTAAAGTTTCCTCAGTTGCTGACCCTAGGTGGCCAAGGATCACACCAGCCCTCCAGAGGTCCAGCTGGCCTGAGGTCTGCTCCTTCCCTAAGCAGGCCCTGGACCATCTCTCTTTCAAGAGCCCTGCCCTTCTCTGGACAGATCAGGGAAATGCCAGAGGGAGGGGAACTGGACCCAAGCATTCTGAAGCCGGGTCACCTGTCTGAGCCACATTCCTTTGTCTCACCCATCTCTGGCTCAGGTTGTGGGTCAGTTTGGATCAGGAGCTCCTGATCCTGGACCACCACCACCCTTCACTTTGTAGGGGCCAAGCCTGGGCTAGGCAGCTAGTCTGCAGCATGATAATTTCATCCCTCTCCTCACTCCTTGGCAGATACTGCCATATCAGTTAAGCTATTTGTTCAAGATCACACTATTGAGAATTGGAAAAACTGGGCTTGGCACCCAGGACTGTCTGGCTTGGAAACTAGAATTCATCACAGCCTGGGATGAGCAGGGCATGGATCCCCTTGATCTACCCCCAGTTCAGCATATACACATGTGTCAATGTGCCTGCCCCAGCCTCCCAGCCAGTGGACCCCTTCCTCATACACTCATACCTGACCAGCCCCTGCTCTCACTGTTGGGATGCTCAGCGTTGGCTCAGGTTCCTCACTCATGAATGCACACACCAGGACAGGGCTGCAGGGAACTCTGTGGGAAACAGGAAAAACAGGTCCCCCGGCCTGGGCCTCGCCCAACTTCCAGCATTTCTCAGAGCAGGCAGTGCTGTGGGCTCCTAAGACAGGAAGGTGGAGACAGCACGGGCTCTGGGTCACGGGAAGTCAGTCAGGCTGAGCCCTCCATAGGCTGCCTCATTTGCTCCAAGCTTGGCCTGAAAGAGGCAGAGAGGTGACCTAGTGAACTCATCCCAGTAGGCAGGAGTGCCCTTTGCCCAACCACACCCACTAGCCGTCCACCCTCAGCTCACATGTTCCAGGGATGGTTGTTCCCAGCCTAGATCTCCCAGCACCCTCTTTTACAGGAGGGTAGTTCTGCCAGGGAAGTTCTCCCCAACACCCTGCAGAGCTGAGCTGAGCCTCCTGTGCCCTCTCCCTTGGTCCTCGTCTGTGCTTCAGCCCCACGGCAGGAAAGAGTCCTTGTCGAATATACACTCAGCAGTATTTTTGGCCAGCACAGTTTTGCTCAGGGTGGGTCTCCATCTGGAGTACCCCTGTTCCCTGATCCCACCTCTAATCATTCCTCCATAGGTGTTGTAAACACACATGGACACACATAGGCGTGGACACACCCAGACACACAGAGATATATATAGTCACACTCAGATACACAATACAGACACACTCTCTCGTACACAGTCTCTCCTGGGGGCCCACCACACATAGCAGGCACAGGACTTCAGTTGGGAATGGTGACCTGGTGGAGGAACTGCTCTTTGTGGGCTGGTCCTAGCATCTACCTGAACCTCAGACAAATCTCAGAGAAAAAAAAAAATCCCCTTCCTTTATCTATAGGTCTCATTTCCCTACGGTAGGGGAGTGGGGTCTGAGACAGCTGAGGCCAGTCCCCAGGCTGGAAGTACAATGCAAGCATCAGGGAATGTGGGGAGAGGAGATGGATGGCTGCAGGAATAGGGTGGCAGAGGGGCATCGGGAAAGACTGGACCACCATTTCCCAATGCACCTTGCCCCAGGAGTCTCAGGCTGACGTGGACCAGTGGGCTAGTAGCTATTTGCCAGTCTGCTCTAGAGTCTAGTGACAAGGCTCTACCCAGGGTCACACCCAATCTTCTCCTACTTAGGAGTTGCTTTCACTCAAAAGCCTAAGGTGGAACAAGACACTTTCAAAGTCACATGCCCATTTCTGAAAAGAGCCTCAACCACCATCTTTCCAGGCTTCAAAGCTCCAATATATCCTTGACAATCCCTCTTTCCCATTCAAGTGAAATCATGACTCACCAAGCCCAGTCATTGTAACCAATGCAGACGTGCCCCTCCCCCCCACCCGCGCCGGTGCCTCAGCCTGCGTTTCTCCTCCAGACCATTGCACAGCCTACTTACTGGTCTCCTTGCCTCCACTCCTATCCCTCCTGGCCCTGGCTGATCTGGTCCCCACTGCCCCTCCACACTGCCCTCCCTCTTTGCCTCCACCTTCATCTTTCTGTCTCCAGCACAGCAAAAGCATTCCCATGGTCATATCTTTGCTCAAGGACACCCTCCCTATCTTCTAACAGCTATATCACAAGAGTTGAGGGCTTTCTCTGTGCCAAGTTCCATGTTAGGTGTATCCATTGACCTCTTCTCATTTAATCCTGAGAAGCTCAGAGAGGCTAAGTGACCTCTCCAGGGTCACAAGGCTAGCAAATGGCAGAGCAGCCTTGATCTGTCTGACTTTAGGAGCTGTGCCCCTGACTGTAAACAGATAGGGGAGGGAGTCCCTGGAGAAAGAGAATCAGGCATGGCTTTCTTGACATAAGAGAAGTCATTTTAGGCCTAGCATGTAAGCCTGACCACAATGCTTGCCCTTGAACAGGTCTCAGCAATTAATGATCTTAAGGGCAAGACAAGAAGCAATAGCAAATAATAAATCAGTTGAAAAGACTCCCAGTTCTATTTCGATGGTAAAGATTAGCCTGAAGCGCTCAACCACCAGATCAACTGGAACCTAAGGAATGATGATGTTGACATTTTCTGATCCTGGAAACTTCAATCAACTAAAGCTTGGACTTTGTCAACATTTACCCCAACTCTATGCTGAATTCTCTGCTCAAACACCTTCATGAATATGTATGTACCCTTAGCTGAAAACTTCCCCAAGTTTGCTGTTCAGGGAGAAACGGCTTTGGGAAAAATTTCTGGTGTTCTCCTTAACCACTGCAAGTAATAAATCCTTCCTTCTCCCACTCTTTGGCTTGGTTGTATCTTTTGGCTCCACACCCACCAAGAGGCGAACCCCATTTTTGGGTAACATGACTACTACTTCATACCCTCCAAAGCCCATATCATCCCCTCCAAGAAGCTCCCTGACCTGCCCTCTTTGAGCCCCACAGCTCTGCCTGTCTGATTAGTTCCCTGCCAGAGGGGAATGCCCTACTGGTAGGGCCCAAGATGTGCTCTTCCTGGTGCTTCCCCATTCTGAAACAGCCATGATGGTTATTGTCCTCATCTCACAGTTAAAAAGGAAAAGAAAGAAAGAAGGAAAGAAGGAAAGAAAGAAAGAAGGAAGGAAAGAAAGAAAGAAAGAAAGAAAGAGAGAAAGGAAGGAAGGAAGGAAGGAAGGAAGGAAGGAAGGAAGGAAGGAAGGAAGAAAGAAAGAAAGAAAGAAAGAAAGAAAGAAAGAAAGAAAGAAAGAACAACTCCAAGGCCAGAAAGGGTAGTCAAAGATCTCACCCAAGGTCACCAGTGAGCCAAGGTCAGAGCCAAGCCTAGCATACAGACTACCCATCCCCTTGACAGGGCTCTACCTCTAACCCACACAGGGTCTTTCTCCTGTGGCCCCAGGCTAGTGAGCCCAAAGCCAGGAGGAGTGGCTGAGGCAGTTCCCAGGCTGGATGCAGAATTTCCAGGGTGGTTGGACAACATTCCATGTTCTCCATTAGGGTGGCTCCAGAATGTACTGCCTGCTTGCCACCCACCTAGCTGGCCCTGTCCAGCCTGGCAGGGGAAAGTGACCTGTCACCATTCTGGAAACTCCTGCTGCCTGCCTCTGCTGGGGGTGGGGTGCTATGAAAGAAAACAGAGGCTCTGGACCCAGAACACCACGGAGGGGCAGAGGAGGGCACTGGGCAGGTGGGAGATCCCAGTTCTGCCATTCCAGCTCGGCGACCCAAACAAGCCTCAGCTCCACAACGTGACTCTCAATTTTCTTGCAATCTAAGAACAGTACCAGCCTCATAAGGTTGTCAAGATAGCTAAAAGAGATGATTTAGACTCATTTTGTGTAATAATTAAAAGAGATGATTTCAATAGATGGAGAAAGCAGGGAGGATGGGGGTATCTCAGCAAGATAAGAGGGGCAGGAAACCCACAGCTATTATGAGCAGAGTAACAAGGCTGACCACAGCCAGACTGACTACATGTCCAGGTTCCCACACCAAAGGCCATCCTCAGAATGGAGGGCAGCCTAGAGATCCCTAGCAGGACTTAGACCCCACCCTACACCTTCACTCATTCACCCTTTACAGAGGCTCCCATATCTATGCCTGGCCCTGTGCAGGGCACCTGGGGACTCTGAGATGGGTCAGAACCTTCTGTGACCTCAAGGAGCTCACTATCAAGATTGGGGGTGGAGGGGAAGAGTATTGGGGAAGACCCAGAAATAGGCAATGACAACTTAGGGTGATCAGGGCTGAAGGAAGCAAGAGGGCCCCTAATGGGAATAGGGGTGGTCAAGGAAGGAGTCCTGGATGAGGGGACACCTGCATTTTGGAAGATGGGTGGGAATCAGGCCAGTGAAGAGAGAAGAGGAGCACAGTGAGCAAAAACTGGGGCAGGAGATCATGTAGTATGTTTGGGGAATGGTCAGTCATCCCTACGGCTTGAGCGGAGTAGAGAGGGTTGGGTTGGAGGACAGGAAGAATCTTGAAAGTTACCTTCTGCCCCTCTTCCAAATGTCCCCCATAGGACTGAAGGCCAGTAGGCCCCCAGGCATGACTGGTGTGTTTTCTGTACTATAAACACTAGGGCTGGTCTGGGGAAATAGCTGAGGGGTAATAACCTCAGATGTTATCAGCAGGTGCTGTTGCAGTGCGAAGCTTCTGCAGCATCCTCTGGAGGCCCTGGGTCTCTGTAGCCCCTTCTGGAGCCTATCTCCTCTTGGAAGCCCCCAGGACCCCAGCCTCAGGGGCCACCTGCTGGTGTTGAGCTCAGAGCATCTGAGTATGTGGGTCTCAGGTCAGCCAGGCTGGTCCTCCCCAGTTACAGATCAGGAAACCAAGACTCCTTAAGAAGAATGACCTTATCAAGGTCTGGTGTTCTAATTATTTTCAGTGTGGGGTTAAGCACCCCAGCCCCACTTTCGGGTAGGACTCCAGACCATCTGACCCACCTCTGACACAGCCCAGCCCAGCCCAGCACAGAGCGACAGAGACACGTTGCTAAACTGAGCCAGTTCAGGAACACAATGCCCTGGACCCCACCCTGACCCATCACACTCAACTGCCTCCAGTCAGACTCAAGAGGCAGGGACCCTGGGTTCAGTTTCCAACTTGGAACCATCCAAGCTGTGCAATCTTGGTCAAGTCAGTTCCCCTCTCTGAGCCTCGGGTTCTTCACTGGTCAAACAGGGCGAATCACTGCTACATAAGACAGCTCATGAGGGATGAGTAACACAATAGGGCAAGTGGGTACTCCATGGGGCTAGCAAATTACGCACTGTCCTGTAGCGGGGGGGCTGCATCTGTTGTTCTCGGCAGAGAAACCCTGAAACACTTCTCAGCAGGGGGCCTTCCCGAGTGACCTACAGGAGGAGCAGGGGTTATGGTCAGAGCAGTCAGGGAAGGCTCCTGAAAGAGGCCTATGATCAGGTCTGCAGAGAAGCAGGGAGGGTCCAGTTTGGGAGGAAGAGGGGGACCCTAAAATAGAAAAAGGGACAAAAATGTAGAACAGGATACAAATGAGTCTGTGATTCTGAGACTGTCCCACTACAGTACTTCCAGGCTTTGGAGTTCATTGGCTCTTACAGTCCAATTCTGAGTCTCTGGTTCTAGAAGTGAATGCTGAATGTTTCTTTAATTCTGTTACTCACTGCTTCTGATAGACTTTGGTTTTGAGATTCTCAGAACGACAGTAGTCTGGACTCTCAGAGTAATACAATCATAAATCACCTTCCCAGGAGCCACAATGTCTCAGCAAACACTTGCCAATGTCCCCATGTGCTGGACCCCAGAGAGACCCTGCAAACCCAGACTCAGATCAGACTTGGTCAGGCCCTTGAGGAGCTCCAGTCTGGATGAGGAGAAAGATACAGACATGGGCCAAGTCCACTTCAATTTTTATGCCATGACCAAGGGAAGCCCAGGGGGCGTGGAACCCACAGTAACCCCTAACTGGCTTGAGGAGGTGGTCAGAGAGAGCTTTCCAGGGGTCATTTGAGTTGGGACTTGACGGATGATTAGGAGTTTGTCAGGTGGACACAAAGGGAGGAGAGCACTGAAGGCAGAAGGAAAAGCATGTGCAAAGGCTCAGTGGGGTGACAGTGTGGGCTATCAAGGGAAGGCCTGGAACATATGAAGCTGGAGTGGAAGGTTAGGTGGCACAGAATGTGTGGGAGCCTCAATCCTGAGGACAATGTGGAACAATGACAGAGCTTAAGCAGGGAAGGACATGGTCAGAGTTGACCTTTGCAGAGATGGTGCCACATAGATGGTGGATAGGAAAGGGGAGTCAGAAGGGAGGGAGGTCAAGGAGACTACACAGACCATGGTCTGGTGGGAAGATCTGGTCCCTTGGCCCTGGATTCCCTGTGAGATGAGAAGCATCCTTGCCAGCCCACAGCCCAGCCATAGCAAGCCTCCTCTTCCCACAAGCTGGGACTGAGGAAGCTGGGTGCTCACCAGGAAGCCACAGCAACACCAATATCCTCCTTTGAGGCAGGGGGAGAGGACTGGGCTCCAAGAAGTCTGAAGGAGGCCCTCCTCCCATGCTCCAGGGCCCAGGTAGTATCATTATCACTGCAATGACAGTGACAGGGTACCAGGGTACAGGGCCAAGGAGGAAGCAGCTGCCCAGAAGAGCCTAGGATGCCCACCTTCCCAGCAGGGACTCCAGCTACTCACCGGACCAGACACATCTCAGGCCCAGGAGATGGGGTGACAGAGGAGTGGAAGAACTCTTCTGCTCAAGAACCAACTGCAGCTCTCCATGGAGTAAGGCCTCCCCCTTCCATTACATGCTCACTTTCACCTGGTCATTCATTTCCCAAACACTCACTGGCACCCTCTGCCTACCCTGTGCTGGGTGGTGTGGACAGAGAGAGAAAACAGACCTGGCCTGGCCTAGTCCTGCAGCTGACCTCTAGGAGGAGTACAAAGGTCAGGGAAGGCCCCCATAGCCAGCCTCTCCACATCAGGGCTGGACAGCTGGGAGAGGCCTGAAGACACAAAGGAGCCTATGGACCAAAGGTGTGGACCAAGGTGTGGACCAAAGGTGTGGACCAAAAGGTGCACCAGACACACCCATGGAAGGACATTTGGAGAGAGGAAAGATTCACTCTACTCTCTCACTCAGATCAGCAGAGGTTTCTCTGGCCCTGTGGCAGCTGGAGTAGGCATTATCTTATCAGCAGCTGGGTAACCAGACTGCAAGCAAGAACTAAAGGCATGTTTTCAGGGCAAGATTCAAACTTCCTTCAGCCTGAAAGCCAGAGGACCAGGCCATACCCAGATGGAGCTTATGTCTGGAATGGGGAGGGATAAGCTAGGGCAGGTAGGCAGGAACCCCAGGTTTCACCTCTGCTTTGTGACCTGGGGCAAGATGCTCTCTGAGCTTTTATTTCTTTATCTCCAAATGAGGATAATAATTCCTCCCTCATAGGGTTGATGGAAGATAAAACAAGGGACATTTATAAAATGTTACTAGTAAGCTATCTCTGCAGAGAGGGAGCAGGGGGAGAAAGGAAGTCAATAGCTAAAGTTCCAGTAACCAGCACGATCGATCCTGTGCTATTGTACTTGTGCTCTAGTATCGCCCTGAAAATGCATTTAGGTCTATGAGTATCATATGTCTCCCCTGTGTATGCACTTTACAGCTTACAAAGCCCTTGCCTGGACACTGTCTCAAGAGTCCTCATAGCAATCTTGCGTTCAAATACGTAAGGATCATCACGCCCAATTTACAGATGGCACAGTTGACACCTAAAGGGGCACAGTGGCTTCTCACAGCCAGGAAAGAAGCCAAATCAAAGCACTCATGGGGTTACTTATGGGGCCTTGGTGATGTTCTCACACTCTCTGAGCTGATCCTTGGAGGATCAAGACTTCTCAGAGCCCTGTGCACCCTGGGCAGGAGAAGGACAAGAATGGAGGGGCCATAGCCTCACTCTACAGTCTCAGCTTGGCAGCCATTTGGGAGTGTCACCCACTGTGATCCTCCAACCCCGCTGGCCAGACCCCAGGACAGCCGAAGGCAGGAGGAAGTAGAGAGTAACAAGCCTTTTGTGCCAGGGCCTCCCCCACACATACTCTCAGTTCAGGACTTCGCTTGTTCTGGCCTTCTTTTAGAGGCTGGCAGGGCAGGAACTGCCCCAAGGCCACCCAGCAAGTTGGGGACAGAGCTGGGGTGACATCAATCTCAAGCTCTAACTGTCCTCAAATTCTTCAGCAAGAGTATCTGAGAACTCAGAGAAGTATCTGGCCAAGGGGGCAAGGGCTCAGAGTTTAAATAATGCCTAGATGTTTCTGGTGTCTATATCACAAATGTCCTGACCTCCCTATACTTAACACTACTCAATTCATTCTCCACAGTGTAGCTGGAGAGATCTTTCTGAAATGCTGCTCTGACCATGAATCTGCCCTGCTCACAAACCTTCCATGGCTCCCTTTTGCCTGTAAGCCGAAATCCAAGTTTTTAGCTTGCATACTCTGAGTCCCGTAGTGCCCCAGGACACATTGTTCTAACAATCTGTGCCACCCATTCTGATGACCAGATTCTGGTTTTCCCTTCTTTGTAATGACATGGAGCTCCACTATAAACAGGCTTTCATGGGGGAAGCTGGGGACAGCGGGCAGGGGTTAAAGGCTGTTGCTGCTCTCTCAGCTCAGCTTGGCCCTATGTAGGGTCCTGGCAACACAAAAATGAGTGAGACCCAGTTCCTGCCCTCCAGTGGTCTCCAGACCTTGGGAAGGAGAAGAGAGACAGAGACCATAACAGTCTAAGGTGGGACCAGGGCTGTCAGTGTTAGGACTGCAAGAGCCCAGAAGAGGCTCCAACCCAGCTGGGGAATCAAGGAAGGCTTCCCAGAGGAGGGGACATCTGAGCTGGGCCTCAATGCTAGGTAGTTCTCCAACTGAGGAAGATGAGAGTAGGAGGGCATTTCAGGCAGTGAGCATAGACTATGCAACAGTCCAGAGGCAAGAAAATGACTAGTGTGCACAGCAGATTACTTGCATTTACTAGAGGGTGAAGAATTAGGCAGGAGAGGTGTCTGGAGAGGGTGGCAAGGACCAGTTCTCAGAGGCCTTGAGTCCCAGGCTAAGGGATTCAGGCTTGGATCTGTGTAAGTCCCGTGAAAGTTTAGCTCAAGGAGGAGAATGGTTGGGATTTGGATTTCAGGAAGTTCCCTCCAGGCACTGAACCTCCTACTCTCAAGCAGTAAGCCTGCCCAGGAGGACACTGGTGCTAAACATGAAGCACACACCAGCTCCTCAACAGCTCTCAAGCTCCACATCATTATTATTCCCCTTTTACATATGAGGTCACTGAGACTCAGAAAAGGTATGTGCCTTGCCCAGGGTCACACGTGTGCATGGCAGGATGGAGTATGGATCTCTAGGTCTCCAGAGAGTTTTGAGGGCCATGTCTGCTCAAAGACTCTCCTTCCCAAACACTCCTACACATAGATAGCTGAGACTTTATCTGGGCTCCACCCTGGCCCTCAAAAGCTCCTCATTATTCTAGCCTAGACACAAAACAAAGCCGGCACTTCATGCTGTGGGCCCAGGGAGGCTGGGGATGCATGCTGAAAGGAAGAGCCCCACAGACCCCTGAACAGTCAGGCCTGGTCCGCAGCAGGGCCTGGCCCGCAGCAGGGCCTGGCCCTTGGGTCTGGGCTCCTGGGGGGATCCTAAGCCTGCTACAGCCTTAGTTGGGGAGAGGAGGGAATACAATGCCTTTCTCCCGACTGACCCTTCCTACAGCAGCCTGCCAGATTAAAAGTCCCCTGACAGAGGCTTAACTGTCCTTCCAGGCCACTGCCCTAGCCCTCCCAATCTTGCCCAGGAGAAGCTGCCACCCAGAGTGCCCCTGGAGGTAGGGGGCTCAGCGGGACTCCAGGTTTGGCCTGTCTCTGGCCGTGGTTCCATGCCGCGAGGGCACCCACACCAGAGAACTCAAACAAACAAGTTCCACAGGTTCAGCCACTCAACCCCGCAGGGGCGCACACACTCAGCCAGTGACACCCAAAATTTCCCAATACGCGGACACACACTCACCAGGGTATCAGTCCACATTCCCCAAGATCGATGCTCCAGTGAAAACTGAGCTCCACCATGGACCCGCTGGAACGCTCACACTGGCCCAGAACCGTGCCCCCTCGGCCAGCCTCACGCGCGGCTCTGCCTGCCTGGCGCCGGCTGAATCGCCACCCGCCGCGTTCCCGGACACGCCCGCCGCCCTTTCTCCGCCTCTGGCCCCTGTAAACTGCCCGCCCTCACCTCGCGGGGCGTTCGTCCGTTCGCCCCGTGGTGCCCGGGCCGCTGCTCCCGGGTGTCCGCGCCCGAGTCCAGCTGCCGCAAGGATCCACGTGCCTGAGAGCCCTGCCCACTCCGCCCAGCTCTCCACCCCTCCGGGTCAGGCCGGGGGCGGGGCAGACTCTGGACAGACCCAGGCATCCTTACCACCACCTCCCGCCCCGACAGACACCCAGCCACCCGCTGGAGGACGCCGCCCAGCGATAGGGCCGCGGGATCAGCATGTCCGCTTCAGGTGCTGCCTTGGGAGGGGCCGGCGGTGACGGTCCTACCGCCTGGGGACCAAGGCCATCGCCCCATCTCCCCCACCCCCGCCTTCCTTACACGGGGGGATGAGAGGTTTTCAAAAGACGCTAAAGCTTTGCAAAGTTTGTCTGGTGCCTGTGTGGCCCCTGCTACAGCCCACCTAGAGACCTTCCTGCGAACCTGCGCCCACTCCTCCCAGAGAGCTTGCTCAAAGCGCTAGCCTCCCATTGCCCTAGGGAGGAAATCCAGGCATTCAGGGTCCTGCCTCTCCAGTTCCGGAGAGGAGGGTGGAGGGAGCCTCCTCTGTGCTTTCTTTGCTTAATCTCATCCAGATTAAGAAATTTCCTGAACAATCCGCTTTTTGGTCTGTCATTTCAAGCTGCTGCCCTTGAGTCGCCTTCTCAGACTACTCCAGCCACAAACATCACTCCCTTCTCTACCCTCAACCCCACTCTGATGTCTCCTGTGGCTAGGGACCCTAAGTCTGTCCCTTTCCTAGACTGTGAGCTCCAGGAGATCAGGGACCAGGTCTATCTGCCTTCTTCCTGCTGTCGTCCCAGAAGGCCCAGGATCTGCCCAATACTTGTTGAATGCGGGAATGAGAGATGAACGAATGCCCCTGTCTGTCATTCTTGTCTAGGTGTCAGGAGTGCAGGTTCTGGCTCAGCTTAATCATTGATTCTGGAAAGCCCTGACCCAGTTCCAGTCCCTCTCAGGGCCTACTTTTCTGTGAAATAGAGACAATCACACTCACCCTCCTGCCACCAGTATCCTTCCATGTGGGGCTTTGGACAGTCAGTGTCTGAGCAAGTGCACAGGTGACCTGTTTCTGTGGCCAAGGAGCTTGCCCAGAACCCTGGGACCTTGGGTCCTGCTGGGCTCCACATCAGCTGAATGGAGCCTGGCTGCAGGCTTGCCAGGAGTGGGAGCAGGGTGGACACACAGCCCTGTGTGGCTGAGCCGCCCCTGCAGTGCCCCAGGAACCTTCACCCAGGAGACACAAAGGCTCCTTGTCCAGCCTCCTCCACTTACTCTCCAAGATGATCCATGCAGCTTCTGGGGAGCTGGGGATCCCTATGGCCCTTACTTATGGAGCCCAGGCCTTGGAGTCTCCGCAGGGAAGTCCTCCTGAACATTGGAGGCCCCAGCCAACCCCCTTCTCTCCTCTCCCTTCAGATCTTGACTGTAACTGCTGTTTAGGCCCAGAGAAAAAGTTCCTTTGATACCAAGATGAGGACCTAGGGCTCTGCCTCAGTCTCCACCCAGAGGGTGGGCAGCCCAGAGTCTTGTTCCTGCTCTGGTACAACCCCCTTACTTTACAGAGGAAGAAATTGCATCCCTAAGACACACAGTGTCTGAACTACCACAACAGGTGACTTAGGCCTGAGGCACAGAAGAAAGGGACTTGCCCTTAAAGTTCATGTTGAGTTCATGTTCTATTCTTGCCTCACCTCCTGTGATGCTTCTCTGAGTCTGTTTCCCTTCTGCAAAATGGCAGTAATGATCCCTTTCTCACTGGCCGTCTAAGGTTCTTTTTTCAAGGGTTTGCCTACCATCCCAAGCAGCTAAGTTTCAAAAGGTTAGTACTCCCCTCTGATGAGGGGCTAGGTCTCCTGACATCTCCCCCTGGCACTCTCATCACTAAGCTTAAAGATCACCAAGTTCAGCAGGCTCCCCAGCAGAGTCTCCTCTAATCAGGGCAGCCCTAGGAGCCTCCATCTCACTTCAACCTGAGCTCCTTTGCTTTTATATTTGTATTTACTTACATTTCCTGGTATGAGTTTGATGAACCATTGATCCAGCCAGGAACTGAGGCCAAGGGAGTCCCACAGCAAGCCCCACACAAGGCCCCATCTGGGTGGGTGGAAGAGCATGGAGCCAAGGCAGGCTAGTGGTGGAGGTGCAGGCACGTAACGGTCCCTGTGAGGAGGGGGCACTCTGATAGGAGGCAAGGAGCAGGGTTCCATTAGCACCAGCAGGTCAGGATGGGGAGGGCAAGACCAGGAGCGCTTCTCCCCAGGCATTAGGATTCTTCCTGTCTCTCTGACCCTGAGGAGGCATTTGGCTCTCTTAAGCCTTCTCATCTTCACTTTCTGACTTCCCTCATCTCCCCTGAGAAAACCCACTTTGAGAATCTATGCTGGGGGTGGAGCCCCTGCCCTGGCTCAGGCCTCCTAGTCAGCTGAGACCGGACACCTCCAAGCCCCCCTTCACAGGTTAGGGTGGTATTTCCATGGCCCCTCCCAGCCATCGCCTGCCTCACACCCTCTGGTGGCCTCAACACCCTTGAGATAATGCCTGGCTCTGCAGCCTGCCACTCCAGGCCCTCCTCACCTCCTGCCTCTGATCCAGCCAGGCTGCAGTGCTGGGGCCTCACTCGCCTGCTGCCTGGCTCTTGCTGCTCCTCTGCCTGCAGTGCCTCTGGATATTTCTTTGCCCTTGGCCCTTTCTCCTGGCTCCCCATCATGGCTCCTCTAAGGCCCAGCCCAGGCACCCAATCAGGTACCCTGCTTTGTCACATCACTTATCACCATCTTATCACTGTTAGTGTCTATCTTCCTCTCTAATGGGGATCTATTTGAGGGCAGAGTAGTGTCCATCCTGTTCACAGTTAAATACCCAGCACCCAGCACTGTCCCTGTCACCTGGATAGCCTCCATAAATATTTGTTGTGTGAGTGAATGAGTGAGAACTCTATTTACAGATCATTTTCTGCTAGTGTGTGCTAGTCTGTGTTCAAGTATCTCATTTAACCTTCACCAGAATCCTATGAGATAGGTGTGATCATTATCATTTTACATATAGGGAAAATGAGGTTCAGAAAGGGGAAGTGAATGTCCAAATCACACACTGAGTCTGTGGTAGGTCCCCTGGTCCTGGAACTGCAATAGGCTGGGAAGGAGGGCCCTGCTGAGTTTTCGAAGTGATGGCTGAGCCTCAGCGTTGGGACCCACACTGCGGCTCCAGTTACATGGGGCTGGGCTGGCTCCAGCAGCCTTGTCTTGCTCTCTGAACTGCTGTGTTGGCCTGGCCCATCCCTGCCTGCCTCACTGACCGGAACTGTGCTCCTCAGATTTCCCTGGCAGGGGCCAGGCCTCTGATGCCAAGTGCAGCCTGGAAACTCTGGTTTTTGGCATGTTAGAATGCAGGTATCCCGGAGAGGCAGCCCAAGAGGCAGGAAGCCTGGTCCAGGCCTAGGCAAGCCTCTCCCTACCTCCCTGACAGCAGGGCAATTTGGGGGACCCAGGGCAAAATGAAAATGCAGATCTCTTGTTCAAAAACTAATAAGAGTCTCACAAGGACCTACTGTATAGCACAGGGAACTATATTCAATTTCTTGTAATAACATATAATGGAAAATAATCAGAAAAGAAAATATATACATATGTATATGTATAATTGAATCACTTTGCTGTACACCTAAAACTAACACTGTAAATCAACTACACTTCAATTAAAAATGTTTTTAAAAAGATCTTTAATCTTAATCATATCAGCAAAGTATCTTTTGCCATGTAAGGTGACATATCTACACGTTCTGGGGATTAAAATGTGGACATTGTTGTGGGTCATTATGCTGCCTATTATAAAATATCTACTAAAAATTTATTGGCCACTGCATCTGCTGATATCCGCCCCCATTGTAATCATGGCTATTGGTGTGCATACCATTTCATATTATCTTATGATCATTTTACTGTGGTATTTTTTTTTGGTCTTTTTTTTAAACATTTTTTATTGATTTATAATCACTTTACAATGTTGTGTCAAATTCCAGTGTTCAGCACAATTTTTCAGTCATTCATGGACATATACACACTCATTGTCACATTTTTTTCTCTGTGAGTTATCATAACATTTTGTGTATATTTCCCTGTGCTATACAGTGTAATCTTGTTTATCTATTCTACAATTTTGAAATCCCAGCCTATCCCTTCCCACCCTCCATCCCCCTGGCAACCACAAGTCTGTATTCTCTGTCTATGAGTCTATTTCTGTCCTGTATTTACGCTTTGTTTTT